TATCACAATGGATGACTTCCATTCATAGCCTTTCCATGTGAACCTTGTGCTGCTTGCTGTGATCACACCACTGGTCAGTGATCACATGGTACAGACATGACCAATCACAGCCCCTCTGTACCCTGGGACTAGCTGTGGCCAGTCACAGCTAATCACAATACACATTGATATAAATGGATTCATTCATAACAAATGGTTGCTTATACTAGTGATTATCACTCCTATAAGTGGTCATAATGTGTAGAAGAAAAGAAATTCTGATCACCCCCTCCCCCTAGAGTAGTACAGTGTTACTATGGTAGCACTGTAATTCCCTGGTCACAATATATAAAAAAAAAAGAAAAAATATTCATGTTTTTGTTAAATACTCCCACCAGTCAGTGTCCCTGATTACTGCCACACCCGTTATATGACGACGACGCTGTACTGCACTGTTGAAAGTATTTTAAAAAGGAAATTGTGAAAAAAAATATATATTTTTTTTTATTAACTTTGCAAAAAGATTGTGACAACAAAGTACAACTTACAAAAACTCGCCATGCCTCTTACTAAATACCCAAGAGTGTCTACTTTCCAAAAAGGGGTCATTTGGGGGATATTTGTACTGTCCTGGCATTTTCAGACCTCAAGAAATGAGATAGGCCTTCAGTGCATCAGGACTAATTAATTTTCTAATATATATACCAGAGTTTGTCGACGCTATAACTTTCCAGAGAGATAGAAAGTAGTAGATCTCTGCTGACAGGAGAGAGATATGTGTTTACACACAGATCTCTCCCTTGTCAGCTTCTCCGCCGATCACTGAGTCCTGGCCACAAATCATTGGCCGGGACCAAGTGATTGACATTTTCAGGAGCCATTGACAGCGCAGGCAAGGTGGCGCGCCCCCTGTAAAATCACATATATTTATGTGATTGTGCGCAGCACGGCCACTCTGTAGAGGTACATCTGCTATGGGGCAGTCTTAAAGTGGTTAATTACTGTAAGGGCTCTTTAACACATCATACTTAATGTGCATTAATGCACCTATAGCGTAAATGACCGTTTTGGTTGCATTGCGTCAGGCAATGCTCCTCAAACACCCTTTTGAGATGTTTTTCTTTTTTTCATTTGAACAAGGCGAAAATTAGTAATGATCACTTTTGATACTTTGTCAACTGCAGCTTGAATGCACGGTAAACGCCATAGGTGTGTTTACAGTGCGTTTTTGGTGCACTTCAATAGAACTGAATGGAGGCGGTTGTGAAGTGGAAATGTAAATTCACTTTGTTTAAAATGCTGCAGTGTTAACATCTCCATCTGCTCCCTGCTTTTACTGCTTCCTAACCACTTATCAACACCACTCAAAACTGCTAAAACGCTGCCCAACCTACTATTTTTAATGCCTGTGTGAAAGAACCCCAATGTTTGGTTCACACCTATGTAGTTTGCTTTTAATCTGCTTTTGCAAACACCTTTTTGGGGCATTTTTCTTGCATTTCTTGATGCGGTTTGCATTTTTATGCTTTTTTTGGTCCATTTGTTGTTGGGCACAATAAAAAAAAAAACACAAAATGCATCAAAAACACACTACATGCTTTCCTGCAGTGTTTCCATGGAAGTCTATTGAACTAAAAAGGTGCCATTTTTAAAAAATTGCCAACCCTCTCCAAAACGCAGCGGATGAAAAAAAAATAGATGTGAACGTGTCCCATAGGAAACCATGTTATATGGACTGTAGTGCGTTTATGCAAAAAGCACAAAAAAAACTAGGTGTGAACCAGGCTGAAATGTGATTTATACCAGTGGTAAGGCTGCATTTACACTTAAGCGTTTTATAGCTTGAAGCGCCAAAAACGTTCAAACTTAAAAAATCAAACGTTCTCTATGGTGCCTGATTGCATAAACAGGCACCATAAAGAACAATTGATTTTTTTTTAAGTTTGAGCTTTTTTGCAGCTTCAAGCTACAAAATCCTGAAGCGTGAATGCAGCCTAAGCGATCAGCTGGCAAAGTCAGGCTTTGTTTCTTCTGTCTGATACTGTATACTAACTGCTCTATCATGACTAGCTGTTTAAAACTGAATTCCAGGTACACATCTGAAATCCATATTTGGGAGCTGAGCTGTCTTACCTGACATAGGACTTGTATTTCTTGGAACAATTTTTTTTATTTATATTCAAAGTAGTACAAAGGGATCAAAGCACAGACAAAGATATGGACGCAGTCGGCACCTTTTCATAAAGGGTACCTTGTCAAAAAAATTATAAAAAAATAAAGACTGGTGGAGAAGGAGGAGATAGATTACAGGACCCAACATAACAGCAAATCAAAGTACAAATGTGTACAGGTAAAATAGCAGCAGCATATTGTAAAAGTAGACTATAGAAACATTATAAATACACATTTACTAGAAGTAGCTCAGGTATCACACCAAGAAATCCAAGGTTTCCAGGATTTCTCAAAGGTAAGTAGACTCAGATTGTAAAGCAAGTGTTCTTTCATACAGATAATGTTGGTAATATGCACAACTTTGGACGGACTATAGGTTAGTTCCAATATCTCATAATTGTAAATTTAGCTGATAGTAATAGGCTAGTGAAGTCTTGCAATAAAAAGAGGAGAAAGAATCCATTCTAAATGTAAGATTGGATCAGTTAAGATGCCTGAGATATGAGATAATTTGAATATTTTCCACCAGAAGCTGCAAATTTTTTGCATGACCAAAATATGTGTAAGAGGTTACACGTAAGGCCACATCCTCTACAGCATAGGGAGGAGTTAGCAGGAAATAGTTTAGCTAACGTGTATGGGGTGAAGCACCACTTTGTGTTGATGTTCAAAGCCAGTTCACACAGTGGTCGATGGTTTGCCATATGGCAGAATAGTGAATGAGGCATTGAGGTCTGTCTCCCATTTTAACATAAAACTGGTTTTAAAAAACTTTTTACACATTTATTTTGTAACAAATTATATAGTAACGATATGCCCTTGAGGGGTTTTGAAGAATTTGTAAGGAAGTACCATACTTTAGGAATGGAGACAAATAGTGGGCAAAAGGAGGGGACAGTGAAAAGTGTCTTATGCAAAGTAATTTAAAATAGGTCTTGTATCTCAGGACTGGATAGATAGAAATACATGAGCTATATAGTCTTGTCACACAGCACAGCAAACCTGGTGACGTTCCTCTTCTGCAGTGAAACCACACAGCTAGATATCCTCCCCATCGTCAACCTTTGGTGGGACATTGAAGAAGTAGCAGCAAAATAATGAGGTTGTCCCTCTTCTCTCTCTACCTGTCAGCACATGATACCTGATTGATGCCAAGTGCTAAACTTTATAGTATGAGAACTACTATACAAGGGATTACAAGAAGTTGTTAGCAAGTAAAATGTAGGTATTCACATTAGTTGCTTTTACAATACACTTATTTATAAATACATACCTACATTTGTGTTCTTTTATACCTACATTTGTGTTCTTTTTTTATCCATAAAAATTCTACTTTACCATTGGGCAGTTAATACAAACATCTGCCCAGAATACATTAATTTACAAAAACCTTCCTATAAAGGTTTACAAGAAAAGGATATGCTTTTGCATAATATAAATATAAATGACTACACAGTTAATATTATGGGTATCATATGGTAGAGAGGAATCCAAAATTGAAATCTTTCCTTGAATTATCCCTCTGTATAATGCTTTTAGTAATTATACCTGTATTGCACTTGCAAAAAGAACAATTGAGCACGGTCAGTGATCCTTTTTTAATATGTACTAACGTCCAAATTTTCAGGACAAGCTTACAGGGTGTGTCTCCTTCAAGGTCCAAGTAGTAGTAATATACAAAGTCTTCTGATTGTGATTTCTGCACACAAGAGATATGCTAGTTAAGACCCCCTACACCACGGTCTCACTCGCTCACATAGCCCCTTAACATACCATTAAAGGAAAAACATAACACCGTTGGAGTAAAATGGCCAACACGGCCTTTTATTAACAATTCAACTTAAAAACACAAAAAAATTCCGTAAAACAGAAACATACAGGAGAAGGTGTTGGTCTTTGAAGGTACCAAACAAAAACCAATGTCCCCCTGTGGAACCTATATTATAACTAGGCCTCCAGCCGCAACGTATCGGCTCGGAGACAAAACATACCATCCGCAGTGCAGAACCTCCACCTTCCAGTTAAACCTTGGTTAACTGGAATGCACCTGGGCACACCATACCACCGATGGGTCCCAACTATTAGCTATAGCTTAAAAGTATGTGCCACCTCCAAAGACCAACAACCACCCCCAGAACCAAAACAAAATCGGGAATCGAAGAAAAACCCTACATAAACCCCAAGAGAGGGCAGGAGGGAACCTCACTCCACTGCTGTATCCACCTGGACGACCCTCCCAACCACACCCAAAGGTGTCGAAGACCCCACCCTACACACCCATCACCAATTAGGTTACTTGCCCATATTCTAACTACCACCTTTTTTCCTAAACCCTTTTCTGTCTTTCCTACCCCTCTCTTAACCTAGTCATGTCTGCCCTGTGGTATTTTTTTTTTTCTTCTTTTTAGCTACGGGCATCTCTTTTTTCACAACCAGAATACACTATGGAAGATCTGAATGTTCTAGTTCATAAAGGGAACTTCAAAACTACTCAGGAAAGGAAAACCTTTGAACTAAGAATGATAATGCTAATTGACACAAAAGATAATAGGCTAAATGACAACCTTGGTTTGCTAAATCATCATCCAACAGTTTTACAACCCCCTGTCACGTCTGGGACTTTTAGTCCCCCTCCCAGTCTACAGCTCTCCCCCTGACTTATCTCCCTAACTGTTCTTATTTAATTATCAATGCTGTGTACATTTATTTGTATTTTTTTTTCTGCAGAGATTGTCTTAACATTCTGCTAAAACTTTGCTTAGACTTTGAAGAGGGTGCCCCGAAAGCTTGTCCTAAAAATTTGGATGTTAATGCAAATAAAAAAAGTATCAGTACTCAATTGTTCCTTTTTATATGATCAGTTTTTTAGTATATTTTCTTAGTGATTTCCTAATATCTTTATTTCTTAGTGTATAAATAATAGGATTGATTGCTGGAGTGATAACAGTAAACAGTATGGCAGCTATTCTATCTTTTTCTATTGATGTTTCTGAAGTAGGTCCAAAGTAAGTGCACATGGCTGTCCCATAGAATAGGATGACAATGGTCAAGTGAGCAGAACATGTAGAGAAAGCCTTAGATCTACCTTGAGAAGAGTGCATTTTGATAACATGGTTAACTATGTAACAATAAGATAGGACAGTAAGAAAAAAGGTGCTTATACTTAGGAATCCACTGACGATGGTCATTGTGATTTCATTGACATGGATGTTTTTACATGCCAACTTTATGACTGGTTTAACATCGCAGAAGAAATGCTTTACTTTGTTATTCTTATTGCAAAATGGGAGCCTTGATGTCATGATTGTATTTATTAAAGCAGAAGTGAGGCCAACAGTCCAGGAGATCAGAACTAGCATGATGCAAGTATTCTTGGTCATAATGACTACATATCGAAGAGGTTGGCAAATAGCAACATATCGATCATAGCCCATGAAGGTCAGAAGGAAACCTTCGGAACATCCCAAGAAGTGTAAAAAATACAGTTGAGTGATGCAGTTATTGATAGATATTGTTTTTTCCATCCAGATTCCTATCATCATTTGTGGGATAGTGTTAGAGGAAAACAGCATATCAAGAAGGGAAAGATTAGCCAAAAAAAAGTACATTGGAGAATGAAGAGTCACATCTTTTATTACAAGGCAGATAATGGTGAGATTCCCTAATAAGTCAAGAAGGTAAAAGGCGAGAACCGGAACAAACAATATCTTTTGGAGCCATGGGAGATCAGTGATCCCAAGAAGAATGAACTCCGTTATCAGTGTTGTGTTCAATTCCTCCATCCACTTATTACAGAAAAGTCTGGTAAAAGAAATTTGCTATCACTAGGTCATTGAAAATAACAATTTGTTCACTAACCACCCACAACACAAAAGCTTGCAACAAAGATTGCTACCTTAATCTATAATGCAAGAAAAATGTGAAAGTGGAGAACCACCAGCTATAAGCTTGCTATTGATTTTTAGAGCCAATTAAGTGCTTTCAGATAAGGGCCCTATCACAACGATACACTTTTGTGAAGCTTAAGGGCCCTTTCACACTGATGTGCTTTTGATACGTTCCCACTGACTTACAATAGAAGGTGCCTTTTAGGTGTGCTTTTGAAAAACTGCACCATAGATCAAAGCACAGCAAACATGCCATGTGAACCATTACACATAGGATTTAATGGGGGATAGTTTTCATGCACTTTTGTTGCCTTATTACTATTATTATACAGGATTTATATAGCACCAACAGTTTGCTCAGTGCTTTACAAACAGCAACAATACAGTTCAATACAAGAGGGATTTGAGGGCCCTGCTCCTTGGAGCTTACAATCTAAGAGGGAGGGGCTAGTGGTACAAAACGTAGTAACTGTGGGGGATGGACTGGTTGGAAAAGTAGAAAATTCCAGTATTAGCTGAGGGCAGGATAGGCTTCCCTGGAGAGAGAGGTTTTCAGAGATCGCCTAAAAGGGAGCAGAGTAGGCGATAGTCTGATAAATTGGGGTATAGAGTTCCAGAGGATGGGGGAAGCTCTGGAGAAGTCCTGGAGACGAGCATGGGAGGAGACAAGGGAGTTAGAGAGTAGGAGGTCTGGGGAGGAGTGAAGAGTACAGTTTGGGTGATATTTAGAGACAAGATCTGTGATGTATTTTGGGGCAGAGTTATAAATGACTTTATTAGTTATTGTTTTGAATTTTATCCGTTGGGCAACGGGAAGCCAGTGGCGGGATTGGCAGAGAGGGGTGGCAGATACAGAACGGTTAGTAAGGTAGATGAGTCTGGCAGCAGCATTCATGATAGACTGAAGAGGGGATAGCCTGCGATGAGGCAGGCCAATGAGGAGGGAGTTACAATAGTCAAGGCGAGATAGAACAAGGGAGTGAATAAGTTACTTAGTGGTTTCCGTGGTTAGGAATGGGCGTATCTTGGAGATGTTGCGGAGGTGAAGTCTACAAGATTTGGACAGTGATTGGATTTGGGGGTGAAAGGACAGATGGTAGTCTAGGATTACACCTAGTACCCTGGCATGAGGGGAGGGACTGATGATTGTGTTATTGATCTTGATGGAGAAGTCAGGGGAGGGGGCACGGGCTGGGGGGAATACTAAGAGCTCAGTTTTGGAAAGACTGAGTTTGAAGAAGTGGAGTGGCATCCATGCCGATATGTCACTTAGTAGTTTAGTAATGCGAGAGGAGACAGTTACCTTGGAAAAGCACACCAGTGAAAGAGGCCTAAAAGTGATCTACTCAACCATTTTATAGGGCTTTAACGGTCTACCCAGTAACCCCCATACACACCCTAAGTAAAATGTGCAGCTTAGGTTGTGTATGTAAACATAAATTGCACCATGTAATTCATGACTAACTTTAGTGTTGGTTCACACTTATGCGGTGCGATTTATGTTGTGACAAGTGCGAATTGAATGAGATTTCTGAGGGAACTGGACATATCAGGAGATTAAATTAACACCACACTAAACTCTCACAGGACCCTTTTTTTGACTGGATCAGATTCGCACAACATATATGTGAACAGCCTGTGTTGGAAATCATACTTTTGTAGATTACATGTGAATTTACGCTTTTCAGATTGCATCTGATCCACATAGAATTCGCATCAGTGTGGCTGGCACTTTAAGCATCACCTATGGACAATTTTGGGTAACAGTTATTTTTTTCAATTTCACAGGTGTGCACAATTATAAGGCTTGGCATGTTTGGGATCAATTCAATCCCATATTTTTAATATGGATATAATATTGTATCTTATTACACTAGAATTGTACTGTATTTTTTTTCCTTAAAATATGTATTTGATAATTAGCTACCGAAATATTGTGCAACATAAAAAAAAAGTGCCACCATTTTATTATGCGGGGTTCAGAAAATATAAAATTGTTTGAGTTGTTTAACCACTTGCCCTCCAGAGGATTTACCCCCCTTCCTGACCAGGCCATTTCTTGCGTTACTGTAGCTGACAATTGCACAGTCATGCAGCGCTGCACCCAAATGAAATTTACATCCTTTTTTTCAATGAATTGAGCTTTCTTTTGGTGGTATGTGATCGCCTGTGCGTTTTTTATTTAAAAAAAAAAAAAAAAAATGACCGACAATTTTGAAAAAAAACAAACAATATTTTATACTTTGCTATTAAGTATGTCCAGTAAAAAAAAAATCTAATTTTGTCATAAATTTAGGCCAAAATGTATTCTGCTACATGTCTTTGCTAAAAAAAATCCTAATACATGTAAATTAATTGGTTTACATGAAAGTTATAGTGTCTACAAATGGTGGTGTATATATACTGGGATTTTTTTTCTATTTTTTATTTTTACTAGTAATGGCGGTGATCAGCGACTTATAGCGGGACTGTGGCGAGGATTCTGACACTGAGGGGAACTGACTTGGTGTCACTGACATCCACAGTGACACCAATACAGTGATCAGTGCTAATAAAAATTACTGACACTGCACTAATGGCACTGGGCAGGTAGGGGTAACATCTGGGGTGATCAAAGGGTTAACTGCGTGCTGTGTGTTAGTGCTTCCCTGTAATCACACTGCTGTGCTGTGCATAGCCATGCAAGGCAGTGTGTACGAGCTGACAGGGAGGAGACCTGGTTTGTTTACAAATAATTCTCCCCTCTGTCGGTGATGCTCTGCAATCACCGGCCAGGACCCGGTGATTGGCAGCTGCGAATGGCAGTGAGGGTAGGGCGTGCGCACCCCACCACACCCGTGCCGCCCTGTAGCAGTATTTCTGCTATAGGACGGACGGGAAGTGGTTAAACTAATTTATAGCAAAAAAATTACAGATTGTTAACACGTTATAAGAATTTTTTTTTTTATCTGCCCTGGTAGACAGGTGGCTAAAAGTACAACACAAATTATTAAAATCGATTTTTATTCAAATTATTTAAAACTCTGTATTAAAAATGAAAGCTGTTAAAAATGTAATGTACTGTATATAGTCGGCTTTTCCCGTACTCTTCCCTACACCATCAACTCATACTGTGTATTTTTACAGTAATTATAATACTTTAACAGGTTCCCGCCCAGCTAATAGCACAAAGGTGGCTGGCAAAACAGCTCGTCCCTCCAGGTGGATGCCATATGGCGTCCTTTCAGGCATTCGAAGTGCGACTGCCCGCAGGGCCACGTTGTGGAGCGATCTGTCACCAGCCGTGTACCTCGGACGCGGCCGATGACAGATCTGTGTTCCGGCTCCGTTTCCAGTACCATGTAACCAATCACAGCAGGTCACATAACAGTTGTATACAACGGATGGCTTCCTTTCATGCCATCCATTGTATACAAGTGTGGCTAGCTGTGAATGGTCATAGCAATCACATGCACAAGCTGGGCCAGCTGTGTCGTGATTAGCCGTGGCCAAATCACAGCTAAGCATAAAAAGAAAACCCTGAATGAATCGATGTCATTCAGGTAAATGCTTGCTTACAGCAAAGTACCGTATTTTTCGCACCATAAGACGCACTTTTTTCCCCCCAAAAAAGGGGGGAAAATGTCAGTGCGTCTTATGGAGCGAATATGGAGCGGCTGGTCCGGTATTTCCACTGCCACCGTGTCAGAATACCGGGCCGGCCGCTCAGCTCTACAGCGGGACCTTATAGAGATGACTGCTGACCTTTGGGGAGGGGGGGGGAGCGGGTACCTGAATTTGACAGATACCAGCTCCCACTTCCGTGGAGTTGTTCTTTCATCTTACCCGTTCCTCTATCCAGCGGCGCGGTCTTCCCGGCTTCTGTAGTGTGGGCATGACAGCCGGGTGCCAAGTGCGCATGCGCAGGAAGCGGTGCTTTTTGTGAATGGTAAGGCGGCACCTGGGACACATGACAGATCCCAGAAGCCGCCGGACCAATCACAAAGCGCAAGTGCTTCTCGCTCATGCACACTGGGCACCCGGCTGTCATGCCGAGCGCCATTACAGAAGCTGGGAAGACCGCGCCGCTGGATAGAGGAACAGGTAAGATGAAAGAACAACT